CTGTGGTATATACATCCTAACAACCACCACCACCATAGTAGTAGTTCCACATGTGCTGTAATTATGATGTCAGAAGGTAGAAGAGATATTGTGGAGACTTCCACAAGGCTCAGTCACACCCCAGCAATGTGCTCTGAGCTCCTGACAGCTCAGTATATGGCATCAAAGGAGACGACACAGTACATGAGGATGTTCACATATAAGGAGTCAACTAATCGCTGGTGGATGAGCAAGTTGGGGGTGCTGGGGTCCATTCCTGCTGGACAAACCCAGCCTCCTTACCTGCTATTCTTTACAATGTGGCAACTCTCTTTTCTTCTCTATTTTCCTTACTTGTTTATTTTATTATTATTAATATCGCTAACATAAAACCTTTTGAAATATAATATGTAAAAGACACCATCATCCCCAATTTATTCTTCCCAAAAGCAACAATTATTAACTGTTTCCTTTGGGTCTTTTCAGAATTGTCCTTCTACATAACATAAGATAGTATAGTATTGTATCAGGTCATAATACATCTTATCGTAACTGTCTTCCCCTGTGAATGGTGTCACACTGCACGCATTGTTGTGCAACTTGCATTTTTTTTCACTTTGCTCAGTACCCTGGGCGAACTTCCATGGCAGCAAGTCAGCATTTTGAAAGTGCCCCATGCAGAAATGCAGACTTCATGCTTTCTCTGTGGTTCACTGTTTGTGGCTAAAGAAGAAAGTTACTGAAATGTGTCCAGACCATGGCTTTCAAGAGAAAGGAATCTATTGTGTATGTAACTGACTTCATCCCAACGTATGATTTTGATTTGTCAGTTAGGATATTATTTTCCTTATCACATCATCTGAGATAATTAAAGGACTCTGAAATGTCGCCTTCATTCCTCTGATGACTTGCGAACAGAACTCTTGAAAGGCTTTCAAACTTGTCATCTCAGTACATACCCATTTGAACACCCCAGGTCAATTAATTTTTCTAAGAGAATGTATTACAAAATGAGCTACAGCGTGAATTCATTACCATAAATTATGAAACAAGAGGTCATCGTGCTTGCAAACTTAGAAGAAACCTTTAAAAACAGAATGAATATTTCTTCATAAATCTTATAATGTGATGATCCACTTTGCATTCAGAAGGACATAAAAACAGTATGAATTCCTCCTAGCGTATTTGGTGATTCCCTCTTCAAAGTGGTACCAGTGCCTTAAATAAGGGATTAAATTAAGATTTTTATTAATATCACACAAAACATAGTTTAGAAAAGTGATGAATCTGGCCGGGTGTGGTGGCTCACTCCTGTAATCCCAGCACTTTGGGAGGCCGAGGAGGGTGGATCACTTGAGGTCAGGAGTTTGAGACCAGCCTGGCCAACATAGTGAAACCCAGTCTCTACTAAAAATACAAAAAATTAGCTGGGCATGGTGGTACATGCCTGTAATCCCAGCTACTCGGGAGGCTGAGGCAGGAGAATCACTTGAACCTGGGAGATGGAGCTTGCAGTGAGCCAAGATCGCGCCATTGCACTCCAGCCTGGGTGACAGATAAAGACTGTCTCAAGAAAAAAAAAAAAAAAAAAAAAAAAAAGGAAAGGATAGTGATGAATCTAAGTTAATGTCCAAAGCACTAAAACCACATTGAATAAAACTAAGTAAATTTTCCCCTTTCTTAAGCAAAGCGGACTTCAGTATGGCCTTAGTGCTTTGAGGAGACAATGTAACTCTTTATGGAAGTCTCATCCCAGTGAATGCACAAGTGCAAAATGTTTTTGTTTTTTTCGTTTTTGTTGTTTTTTTTCCCAAACGCAGAACTTTTATCAGTTTGTTTTGTCAGGCCCTGGCCTTTGAACTGTTTTTAATAGAAAATTAATAAATCTCTGCTTCGGGATATATCACACTCTCTTAAAAAGGAAAAATACGACCTGAAGTAACCTATTTCTTCCTATCAGCAATAGCCCAACTTAAACCAGATATATTCTGTGGTGTATGGTATATGGGTTTTACGACCAAACAGACCTGCTTCATTTTGTTTTGTTTTGTAGCCGCATTTTTGAGATAAAATTCACATGCCGTACAATTCACTCAAACTTGGTTTGGAGTCCAAGTTTTTCAGCTTCCCTAGGCTTCAGTCTTCTTATCTGTAAAATGGTAATAAAAATAGTACAACCCTCTGATTTGCTGTGCAAATGAGATGCTTGTGTTCAGTCTATCCCATGGCTAAATAAATGAAAGCATAACAGAAAGAATAGTTTTTCATTTTTTACACACTCAGCTTGGTCATTGAACTTTATAAGCAATCAGATCTCTGATTCTGATTTTCCACTTCGACAGTGAAAACCTTAATTCTGTTAATTTATGTTAATTTCAGGTACCAAATCTAGCTTAATTGAGTACTTTATCAGTCTCTACTGATTAAACACTCACTCAACGATAGATTCTGCCCCTCCCCTGCCTTGGGATGGACCTGGGTTCACAGGCAGCCACTATGGCAGTGTGGCTGGTTTGCATCTGTCCGCTGGTGCTGCTGCAGTGGAGACTTCCATCTGGTCTCTTGGGATGGGCAGTGCGAGGAGATGAAGGTTCCAGGGATCTTGCTTGTTTCCTCTGTCATCTTGGGCCCCAGGAGCTACTTGCTGCCGTCTCGATGCCCTCCAAATACTCATGGCAACAGGGGACATCTACAGGGCTTTGTCTCTCAAGGGGCCCCAGCAGAAAATGAGAAATGAGGTAGAGGTCCACCATCACTTTATTTATTTATTTCTTTGAGACAGAGTCTCTCTCTGTTGCCCAGGCTGGAGTGCAGTGGCGCAATCTCGGCTCACTGCAACCTCTGCCCCCCAGGTTCAAGCTATTCTCCTGCCTCAGCCTCCCGAGTAGCGGGGACTACAGGCACCTGCCACCACGCCCGGCTAATTTTTTGTATTTTTAGTAAAGACGGGGTTTCACCATGTTAGCCAGGATGGTCTCGATCTCCTGACCTCGTGATCCACCCACCTTGGCCTCCCAAAGTGCTGGGGTTCTTGAATGCCAAACTACAAGCTTCCTTCAGCACTCGGAGGTACGAGTGGAAGCAGGGCTTTTCACCATCGCACCTGACTTCCTCCTCTCTCCAAAGTCTCTCTGCTCCCCTCTCTTGTTCAGGTTTGCTGGGGAGCACAAGAAGCTGCGTTTTTTGTTCTGCTGATTTCCATTAACACCCCCTACCCACCCCATCCTCACCCCTGGCAGATAGAGGCCACTAAATGGAGGTGAGCATGAGGAAGAAAAATGGAGCAGGCCCAGCAGGTTGACGTGTCTGATTTGCCACTACAGCCACAGTGGTATTTCACATTAGTTTATATTCTACATGTTTGATGGTTATCTCACTTCTACTATCACAAAAAAAATTCTGCATTTCTTTCTCTGGATGCAGGTATTGTTACTTATTTTTCTCTCCTGGAAGATGAAATCTGAAGGAATTCATAATTCTAGTTTATGATTCTTTGCCCTCACCTCTTGCCTCCATTCTTTGATCTCTGATACCCTGTGTATGAGGTACTGTCTTACATGAAATCTTATGGGTTGGATAGACCCTTTCAGGGGTGTCCAATCTTTTGGGTTCCCTGGGCCACATTGGAAGAAGAAGAATTGTAGTGGGCCATACATAAAATACACTAACACTAGCCGGGCGCAGTGGCTCATGCCTGTAATCCTAGCACTTTGGGAGGCCGGGGCGGGTAGACCACAAAGTCAAGAGATCGAGAGCATCCTGGCCAACATGGTGAAACCCCGTCTCTACTAAAAACACAAAAATTAGCTGGGCATGGTGGTGTGCACCTATAGTCCCAGCTACTCGGGAGGCTGAGGCAGGAGAATCGCCTGAACCTAGGAGGCAGAGGTTGCAGTGAGCCAAGATCACGCCACTGCACTCCAGCCTGGTGACACAGCAAGACTCTAACTCAGGAAAAAAAAAAAAATACACTAACACGATAGCTAATGAGTTAAAAAATAAATCACACAAAAAATCTCATACTTTTTAAAGAAAGTTTACTAGTTTGTGTTGGGCTGCATTCAAAACTGTCCTGGGCCACATGCGGCTTGCAGCGGGCCTTGGGTTAGATAAACTTGATTTTATGTTGAAATCCTAGCCCCCAGGACCTCAGAATGAGACCTTACTTGGGAACAGTGTCATTGAAGATATAATTAGCTCAGTTAAGATGAGGACATATTGGCGTATGGTGGGCCCTAATCTAATATGACTGATGCTTTGTATAAAAGAGGGAAACTTGCAGCTAGTTGGGAGGCTAAGGTGAGAAGATGACTTGAGCCCAGCAGGTCGAGGCTGCAGTAAGCCAAGATCGTGCCACTGCACTCCAGGCTGGGCAACAGATGCTGTGTGAAGATGAAGGCAGAGATCAGGCTGATGCTTATGGAAAGCCAGAGATTGCCAACAAACCACCAAAAACTAGGAGAGAGACCTGAAACAGATTCTCTCTGAGTCCTCAGTAGGAACCAACCCTGCCAACACCATGATCTTGGACTCTAGCCCCCAGAACTGTGAAATAATAAATGTCTGATGTCTAAGCCAGCCAGTTTATGGTAGTTTGTTAAAGCAGCCCTAGAAACCTAAAATATGGTACATATGGTTTTGTCTTCCCAACCCACTTATTTTTCTGGGAAATCTCTCTCCCTCCCCAGTTACTGCAGGAGCAGCCATGTTGATCAACATGGCCTCCTGCCCCGGTAGATTTCATTGAAAATTGGCATTTGAAACCAGAGAACAAGTCTTCAGTGACTAAAGCTGAAAAGTATGAAACTCAGGAACTGCCAACAACCGTGTTTTCTACAACAAAAAGAAAGCCAGTCTGCAGAAGACAAAGCTGGAATCCAGAGCAGCAGAGGTGAGGCAAGGGGAGCGAGCTGAGGGTTTCCCGCTCTAACTCCATTGGTGCCCGAGGTCTCAGCTCTATCCTAACTTGGCTGTGACTTGAATTCCAGGACACTAAAGTGACTGTCCAGTAAATTCTTTTTTTTTTTCCTCTCAAGCCAATTAATAAACAATCTGTGGTACTTACAACTCAGACTTCTATTTAACATCTCCAAAACTCACTCAGTCTCATTTTTCGTAATAAGTGGAAGTTTGCTGCTCTAACTGTATCCTTACCAGACATGGGTGCAGGATCCAGAAAAGAGCATTAATAAAAATTAATGTTAGTCAAGAAATATGGCCAGAGGCAGTGGCTCACGCCTGTAATCCCAGTACTTTGGGAGGCTGAGGTGGGCAGATCACTTGAGGCCAGGAGTTCAAGACCAGCCTAGTCAACATGGTAAAACTCGATTTCTACTAAAAATACAAAAAAATTAGCCAGAGGTTGTGGCAGGTGCCTATAATCCCAGCTACTCTAGGAGGCTGAGGCACGAGAATAGCTTGAACCTAGGAGGCAGAGGCTGCAGTGAGTTGAGATTGCACCACTGCACTGCAGCCTGGGTGGCAGAGAGAGACGCCGTCTCAATTTAAAAAATAAATAAATAAAAATAAAAGTCAAGAAATATATAATAACTTGTTGAACTTTCTTTCTTAAATTAAACTTTAAACCATCATAAAATACAAGAAATTAGATTGATTTCTTTACCTTTTAAATTAAAACCCAAAATAATTCATTAGCAAGCAACTTTATTTTCCTTAACAGATGGGACTCTTTTTAACCTCTAAATACAGCATAGTTCCTTCATTAAGATAAAGAGTCATTTTGCAGAGTTGATTGGGATATCTGTGAAGGAATCATTTCAATGATTATGTTTTCATTGCTTTTATTTTCATTATTTGTTTATTTTATTATTAATTATTATGAGAGATGGAGTCACACTGTATTGACCAGAGAGATCTCAAAGTCCTGGCCTCAAGCAATCCTCCTGACTTGGCCTACCAAATGCTGGGATTACAGGTGTGATCCACCATTTCCAGCTAGCTTTATTATTAAAGGACATATTAGTCCTATGATAAGTTTCAAATGCCTGGCATTTTTCCTGAGAAAATAGATTATATTTAGAATGTTAACAATAAGGAATTTTTCTGTCTGCCCATTACCACATTTTTAAAAAAATCTCAGAAACGAAGTACTTAATCTTAATTCAGATTCGCACACTTCTTAATGGCTTCTGATATGTCTAGAGATGCAATCTCAAAGGCTACCAGCTTCATGTCAGAAAAGGACAAGCAAATAAAATTTGATGCTGGAGACTAGGAAACAAAATTCAGTAATTCTCATGCTATTTTGTATACTAATCAGGGAATGCATTAATTTTCTGTTGCTGCATAATTACAGTTTACCCCAGAACTTAATGTCTTAAAACAGCATTCAATATTTATGATCTCATATGGTTTCTGTGGGACAGGAATTCAAGAGTGATTCAGATGGGTAGTTATGGCTCAAAGCTTCACGTGAGGCTGCAGTTAAGATATCAGCCAGGGGTGGAGTCTCCAGAAGGATTGACATGGGCTGAGCCCTTCACTTCCAAGGCGGCTTGCTTACTCATTCATATGACTGGCAAGTCGATGCTGGCTGTTGGCAAGAGGCCTCAGATCCCACCATGTGGACCTCTTCATTGTGCTTCTTGAGTGTCCTCATGATATGACAGCTGGATTCACCCAGAGTAAGTGATCCAAGAGAGAGCAAAGATAGAAGCTGCAATTTTTAAATTACCTAGCCTTGGGTGCCACATACTGTCATTTGCACGATATCCTATTGGTTACACAGGTCAGCCATATTCAACATGAGAAGGTGACAATACTGGGAGGTAAAACTCATTGGGGGTATCTTGGAAGTTTCCTATTCTTACTCTGGGTATCAATGAGAAAAACATTATTATGTTAAAAAGTATGGAAAATGCTTTTCAAAATGAACACACCTAAGAAAATTTCAACAAAATTCGTAATAGAGCCATAGAATTCTAGAATCAGAAAGAAACTTGGTTATCAACCAGTGTAACTTGGTCATGGAGGCTAAGTCTCTGAAAGGTGAGAATTTTTTTAACTTTGTATAGCAAATTAGTGACTGGATCAGGCTTAGATCCAGGCCTCTTTACTTCTCTGGTTAGGGCCGGTGGTGAATAGGCTGGCTTGAAAATTAACATCCATTCCACTCTCCTTATAGTATGCCTTCCTACTGCAGCGACTGGAGAACCTAAAACCATATGTTTCCCAAACTCCCTTGCAGCTAGGGTTTTGGATATGATTTGGGTTAAGGCAATCAGACTGTAGAAGTGAGAGCTGGAAACTGGAAGTGATATAGCAAATAGGCTACTGGAACTTGTGCCGCTGCTGTTGGCAAAGGTGGTCATTGCAATGTTGGGTTATATTGTGGCAGAGGTAGCAGAGGTTGTGCTGCTTTGGTCACTACTGGTGACAGCCAAGAGGCAGGACTCAGAGGAGTCACTATGGACATAGCAGGTGTTGTATGGCTTTAAAGGTAATCGTTAAAATTAGCCTACAGTCCTAGCTAGCTACTTGGGAGGTTGAGGTGGGAGAATCTCTTGAGCCCAGTAGTTTGAGGCTGCAGTGAGGTATGATTTCATCACTGCACACCAGCCTTGGTGACAGAGAAAGACGCCATCTCTAAATAAAATAACACATACAAATACAATAAATAAAACATTTAAAAAAAAAAAAAGTAGACCGGGTGTAGTGGCTCTTGCCTATAATCCCAGCACTTTGGGAGGCCGAGGTGGGTGAATCATAAGGTCAGGAGTTCGAGACCAGTCTGGCCAAAATGGTGAAACCCCGTCTCTACTAAAAATACAAAAATTAGCCAGGCGTGGTGATGCATGCCTGTAATTCCAGCTACTCAGGAGGCTGAGGCAGGAGAATCACTTGAACCCAGGAGGCTGTGATGGGCCAAGATCGCTCCATTGCACTCCACCTTGGGCAACAGAGAAAGACTCCATCTAAAAATAATAATAATAATTAATAAATAAATAAAAGTAATAGTTGCAACAGCAGTTTCCTGATCCCTGAAGAGCAAATTAGGTAATGTGTTCTGGAGCCAAGAACTTCAGTGGTGGTCACCAAAATCACAAAGGTGGAGAAGGAATACCTGGCAGCTTCCATAGAGGACTAGCTCGATGGAGTAGTTCTTGGAGTTGTTCCCAGATTCCAAGCCAGAGCTGTTATTCCAGTCCTTCCAACAATTTTGTAAGCACCTAATTCCCTATATTAAGTCACGCTCTCTTGAGATAGCTAGAGTGGTATCTGTTGTCTGCACCTAAATTCTATTACAGAGCATGCTAATACATAAGAATGAGAAGAGCAGCCTGACCTAAGGAAACTGGCCTGACACTTAAACCTAGGTCTTGTTGTTGTTAGGAACTAGCCTGGCACTTAGAGATGGGTCATAGTGTTCTTCTGTTGAATAAAAACAATTTCTCAGAACATCAGCATCTTCAAGGTCTCTCTGTTGACCATGATGGATCAAGACATAAGCAAGACCACTGTGTATCATGTCTGAACACAGACAAAAATATGAACATTGCCCACACCACAACAAGGACCAATCATCCCCCTGTTCTTGCTACTCTGAGTGACTGCTGCTTCTTTACCAATTATAATCTTAGTCTCCCTCTTTTTACAGAAGATTTATTAAGATACCCAATCATAGAATTACCCCTTCTTCCTGAGATCACCCAACCCATACAAAATTTCTTTTACTGCTCCCTAAGTCACCTAATGCAAGCCTAAATCCTGTAAGTCCTTTCTAACTCCCTCTTACTAAGAGGGTTCCCCATGGTGTGTGGTTTCCTTCCCTGCAATAGTAATAAAATCAACAGATGTGTTCCTGCCGATCTTTGGCTGAAAGGCATACTAAAGTTGAAAAAAAAAAAAAAAAGGTCTGGGTAGCTGTCTTCTGTCACCCAAAGCACAATCATATGTATCAAATGATAACAAAAAAAATTATAAAAGAAAGGATAGACAGTAACATATAAGGCAATTGAAAATTACAGGCAAGCAATTATACAGTGAATTGAACAATAATACAATTTCTTGAACGTCCATTATAGTAGCATTCTCCAGAGAGACAGAACCAATAAGAGATAGATAGATAGATAGATAGATAGATAGATAGATAGATAGATAGACAGATAGATAGATAGACAGACAGATAGATAGACAGACACAAGAGGGGATTTATTAGAATTGGCTTATATGATTTTAGAGGCTGAGAAGTCTCATGACATGATGTCTGTAAGCTGGAGACCCTCGGATGCTGGTAACATGGCTCAGACCAATTCTGAAAGCTTTTACAGAACTAAGAAAGCTGATGGTATAATTCTCAGTCCAAGGTTGAGGGCATGAGACCCAGAGGTGGGGGCCTCTGGTGTAAGCTTTGAAGTTTAAAAGCAAGAAAGGCTGGAGTTTTGATGTCCAAGGTCAGGAGAAGAAGAGTCGCCCAATTACAGGAAAGAGAGAAGAAAAATTACCTTTTCCCTGCCTTTTTTGTTGTATCAAGTCCCCAGCCAATAGGATGGTGCCCAACCACATTGAGGGCAAATATCCCCCACTCAGTCCACAAACACACAAACCAGTCA